TTTTGAAAATGTTGGAAATTCCACGTTTAGCCTCCCCTAGCGCCGCCCCTGTCAATTTTCACCAAAAAAAAAACCAGCACCATTAAACTCAGCAGAAAGGGGTGCACCATGTTCACGTTTTCTTTTTTCTCTTGCTTGTTGCACAATAAAATAAATTAGACTTATTTTTCTTCTAAGAAATTTTCAGGTGGGTAGTACTACCCCACCGCCCCTGCTTGGCATTTCCAGTTGGCGTCAGTGGGCCCAGAAGATAAACGACTGGCGTGCTTTGTTGAACACGGCCAAAATCGCTTAGGCGGTTGCAGCGCTAAACAAGAAGAAGACTGTATATTGGAAGTGTGGACTATAGGTACGGTGACCATTCGTCCCGATTTTACGAAAATTGTTCCGCTGAATATTTTTTAAAATTCTAGACATTTAAGTGTCCAGATTTTTCATATTTGTACCGATTAACTACCTGATTCTCTATCTCGAAGCGACCGTTCATCTCGTACAAACAGCCGTTTGTTCGTGTATTTGTATTACCTAATGGGCTGTTGTTGCTTATGGGCTGTTTTTGCTTACGCGTAAAAGCACATTTAGCGCATTTAGCTCTAAATGCTACTCTAAATGTACATTTATCCATAAAAAATTCGTCACCTAATTGTAACTAAATGCAACTCCATATTTGCATTAAGAATCTAAATGCTAAAAGCAACCCTGTGATCTTCCAAAAATTTCCACGATTCGAACATGGTTTAATGAGAAAAAGTGGCAACATTGCTTTTTTCGAGTATACAGTCGCTAGCTGGGTTTCAGTGATCGCCGATCGAGATTTCATTTATTATTTTACATTATTTGGATAAAGAAAAGTTACGCAAATTCAACATCGATATGATGCTGATAGAAATCTGGATTAATTTGTGATCAACTCTGTTTGTTTTGTTTCCTAATTAAGTGTGGAAATTATAATTTACAGCACGACAAATGAATATATACACAAACAAAAGTTCGGTTATGGTTAAAACAATTCAAGTTTTTGTATTGAATTTTCGGTTTAGAATTTATTTTTTTTCTTTTTCAGTAGGGGTTTTTGCACATTATCTTTTCCGTGAGAATTTATCGTAATAGATACGGATCTGAATAAGCGACTGGAACACGGCTGTTTGTCAAAAGCATACTATTTCGAACTCGCGTAAATGTACATTTGCTAAATGCGGTAGCATGAACGCTCTTCGAAAACATATGTTCGAAAGGGCTAAGGGCCGTTTGCACCATGTCTAGTTAATTCTAACTCCCAGTTAAACATCTTTATCGACGTTATCGACACCCATCATATAACATGTGATCAATAAAGCAGTTGACGTGCTTAACTGAAGGATGTACCTCCAGTTAGCGTTAACTAGACATGGTGCAAACAACCCTAAATGTTGCATTTTAAATGCAGCAAAAACGCTGCATTAGGCTTTCTGCTCATTGGTCGTCCAATCATAGTTGAGTCATAGTTATCGTCATGAAGCAACGATTACATGACGATTACACTTCTGCACACTTGGTCGTGATATTTCAATTCATTTGGCGTCTAAAAATTCACTTGGAGCAGGTATTTTCTGTTTTTTTTGGTTGATATTTTCGCGAAATATTTACAAAAACCTGCAATTTTTTAAATATAGACTGTGCTGCAACATTTCTAGACGTAATTTTCCAGTAATATCTCTTCTTTTCTTTTCCTGGAATGTGTTTTGTGTATGCACACAGAGACTTAATACAATTTCGTCATATTTTATAGTTAAAACGCTCATATTTATTAAATTTTAATGCAATTATCCACTTTTTAATAATTTCCACAGATTTTATGCAAAAAAATACTAATTTTTATACAATTTTAATGCAAATATTAACTTTTTCACTAATTTTCCCCCATAAAATGTAAACAAACAATGCGTGCACAACGATTAGCAAACGACAGTGCCGTACTTATCCGTTTCTGCATCTTCTACGATTTGCCGATAACTAGCCGATAACGACAAGTGTGCAGATCTCCTTTGAAATGCATGTGCTCGGCTCAAAATTTCAGGGCGAGACGATAACGCAACTATGATTGGACGACAAGTGTGCAGATAGCCTTACGCGTAAAAGCACATTTAGCGCATTTAGCTCTAAATGGTACTCCAAATGTACATTTATCCTTAAAAAATTCGTCACCTAAATGCAACTAAACGCAACTCCATTTTTGCATTAAGAATCTAAATGCTAAAAGCAACCCTGTGATATTCCAAAATTTCCACGACTTGAACATGGTTTAATGAGAAAAAGTGGCAACATTGCTTTTTCGAGTATACAGTGGCTAGCTGCGTTTCAGTGATCGCCGATCGAGATTTCATTTATTATTTTACATTCAACAATTTATATTGAGCTCGAGGCCGTTTTTTAAATGAAAATTTTATTGTGGAAAAAAAACAATAATTTGAAAAAATGGTAGAAGTGATAGCTATTTCGGAAATCACTACATTTCCTCATCAGACTTCTTTCAGTAGGATTCGAACCGACGATCCCACTGACTCAGCCAGTTGCCTATACACCGTGCTAAGTACGCCTTGTAAAAAAAATAACAAAACAAATTTATTATTTTACATTATTTGGATAAAGAAAAGTTAAGCAAATTCAACGTCGATGTGATGCTGATAGAAATCTGGATCAATTTGTGATCAACTCTGTTTGTTTTGTTTCCTAATTAAGTGAGGAAATTTTAATTGACAGCACCGACAAATGAATATATACACAAACAAATGTTCGGTTATGGTTAAAACAATTCAAGTTGAATTTTGGGTTTAAAATTAGTTCTTTCCTTTTCAGTAGGGTTTTTGCACTTTATCTCCTGCATGAGAATTGATCGTAATAGATACGGATCTGAATAAGTGACTGGAACACGGCTGTTTGTCAAAAGCATACAATTTCGAACTCGCGTAAATGTACATTTGCTAAATGCGATAGCATGACCGCTCTTCGAAAACACATGTTCGAAAGTGCTAAATGTTGCATTTTAAATGCAGCAAAAACGCTGCATAGCACGAATTCGCTACCCTGGCGATAACTAGTCGATAACAGCTGATTGTTATGTGACGAAAACGTAACAAATGTTAATTCTCTAACACGAATACGACTTCAAATAAAGAAAAAAAATTGTCAAATTCAAACGAAAGAGTTTTTGCTATCGTGTGAGCCGCTAAAATAGATAATTCAATTTTCCAAATGAAGGAATCATGGTTAGCACCAGGATGTGCTGCGTCAACAAATGTAATTACCATATCGCCGTCTCATATCTGAAATCAGAATTGTATTGAAATAGTGGCATTAAAAAGGCTATAAGGGTTTTGTACTTACTGCCATTACATTGATGCTATAAAACCCCTTTCTATTGTAGTAAAGATATCTGCAATTTGCATTGGGTGCTTTTATACGCACAAGAGTCCCGTCCACACAGCCAACTATGCCAGGTATTCCACATTTGTTGAAGAATTGCTCTTTCACGTCGTTTTCTTTTTCCTCGTTCCTGACATGCTTACCCATTTGTGGCAAAAATGCTCCTCAAAAATGTTCAAGCATTCCGTTTTACTTTTGCAACTGTCGGCTGACCCATTACTGAGACACTTTCGTTACCCACCGACTTTTGATAGCTTCCAGTTGCAAAAAAGCGTAGAAATGTGGACAGTTTCAGTTGTGGTGGCAAATGAGTATTGCGGTAGGTGTATTTTATATGGATGCTCACTTCGCTGAAAATGTGTCCCAAATACTTCTTTGCTGACTCGAAAGTTTTTAACAAACCTAAAATAAAATATGTATGTTATTGGTTAATATACACATACAAATGTGCGATATTTGGGTGCAAGCCAGAGCCGACCACTTTACTTGGGTCCCATTTCGTCCCCACATACCACTACAACTGTCTGGAATGCTAGAAATGCAAGTCTACTTACTCGGCGTCTGGCATTTAAATATTCTATTAAAATATTGTATTTTTGAACTTTTATACACACAAAGTAAACAAAACAATTTTGACAGATCTGTTCGTTCGAGATAGGGAATCAGGCTGGTAAGTCCCGATTTTCAGTGTTTTCTCTATTTATTTAATAAGAATCTCCCTGTACTCTGGCCCAAAAAAATAACTTAAATTTTTATATTATAATTGAATAAGGTTTTTTTTTGCTTAAAAATCACTTTTACAATTATTTGTTCTGTTTTTTTGTTTTTGTCTTTTAATGAAACGATTCTAACTTGAATTTAGTGAAGGTATTAAAAAAATTAATACCTTCAAAAAAATCATAGATATGAAAAATAGAATTTGTAGATTCAGTGGCGAAAATATAAATTGGGAAGACATTTTACTGTTCTTTGGCGGTTATTTAATGTTTATTATTTTTTTATAAAAGTCTAGCTCGTTATCTAATAAAGACCATGCACGTCCAAGCTTCAAACTTAGCACAAAAAGTAAAAAAATTCGACAAAATTTTATGAAAATATTCTGAGTATGCAGTTTTGTAAACCATTCAATTCAAAGTGCAAATTGTTGAATATTTTTATCTACACATTGCGTTACCTATCCCACTGTATTGTACCAGCAACAGTTATGCACAAGTTTTCTCTCTTTCCATAAGAATATGTATGTACATATGTATGTAGGTATCATAGTTTTATTCTTCTTAAATAAAGTTAGTTGTACTTGAACATTCGAGCGGTCTGGTTTTTCTTTTAATGAGTGCAATAGGTTATGGGCCCAGACTCGCTATAAGTACAGTCTCAAACAAAAAAAGCAAGCCTGGCGTAATCGGTAATAATTTATTTTAATCGAAATTTTTGGCAATTAATTTTTCGGGCGCAATATGGACGCAGAATATACTAAAGTAGAAAAACTGCAGAATGCCGATCAGTGGAATATGTGGCGGTTTCAAATTAAGGTGCTCTTAAATGCTGGAGAACTGCTAAAGTATATTCAAGAAGATGCTGCTGACACTTCTGGTGCATCGGTTGCTGCTGGCACTTCACAGGAATCGAAGGCCGATGTTGCGGGAGGAGCTGCTGCAGGTGCAGCGGGAAGTGATGCTAACGGCCCTGTTGGGGTTAATTTGCTGACACAGAGAATGCAGAGGGAAGAATTTAGTCGAGGTGATAGTAAAGCTCAGAAGATAATTGTAATGACTCTTGGCCAGCAACCAATGATGCATATTTTGAACTGTAAAACTGCACGTGAAATGTGGAAAAAATTGGAAAGCGTGTACGAGTTCAAATCAAGCGCCAATATTCATATGTTGCAACAAAAGTTCTATAGTTTTCAAAAGGATCCCAAAGATGATATTGCAATGCACATTTCTAAGCTGGAGTCATTGGTTACTCAATTGAGTGATGCTGGTGAAAAGGTTTCGACGTCAATGGTAATAACGAAAATTCTTATGACTCTACCCCCCAGTTTTGCACACTTCTACAGTGCTTGGGAGTCAACTGATGCAAGACAACAAACGTTGGAGAATTTAACTAGCAGACTTGTCATGGAAGAAGCAAGAATTACGATTTCTGACCAGCGTGCAGCCACTGGAGATGCATTTGTTGCTAAACAGAATATTTCATCCAACATGCGGTACAAGAAAAATCTAAAGCCAGGAAAATGTTTCGCATGCAAAAAATCTGGCCACTGGAAACGCGATTGCCCTTCAAAGTTAAATGAAGGTCGAGACTCAACGAATGAAAAGAAAAGAAATGAGAAGAGAGGTAATGCTTTTTTATGTGAGGCAGAGGTGGCTAGTAATATTGGTAAGGAGCAGGAATGGTTCGTCGACTCGGGCGCAAGTGACCACATGACGAACAAGCAAGAGTGGTTCACCACGTATGAAAAATTTACAGTTCCTATGACGATACGACTGGGAAATGGAGACACGATATGCGCGTACGGCCGTGGTGCTATTAACATTTCTACGTACAACAACGATAATTGGGAGGAAAATCATTTGCCATCAGACTCTTTGTACCGAAACTGAAGTTGAATTTGTTCTCGGCAAGCAGTGCTCTTGATAAAGGTTTGCAAATGAAATCTGATTTTAGACGATGTGAATTTTTAAAGAATGACAGTACTGTGTTAGTGGGAGTTCGCCAAGAGAAACTTTTCAAGCTTCTAATAAAAGTAATTTTACCCATATCGCCGAGAAATTTTGCCTACTCTGCAACAACAAAAGTATTGCCGATTAGCGAATGGCATTGTAGAATGGCTCATCAAAATATAGCGCACTGCAAACAGTTTTTACGACAAAATGACATTCCGTTTATTGATAGCGAGAATTTTTTTTGTGAAGCCTGCATATTCGGGAAGCATCATCGATCATCCTTTCAAACTAGTCAGAGTTATACATCAGATGTAGCAGATCTTGTTCACAAAGATGTGTGTGGTCCCATGCAAAAAGCATCAATCGGCGGAGCAAAATATTTTCTCTTACATTACAGAACCGTGTTTTTCATGAAAGAAAAGAGTGAAGTATGTGGCTTGTTGACTAAGTATATTCAAAGTGTTCAAATTGCAACATACCGAAAGGTTAATACTATTCGCTCAGATAATGGTCTGGAATTTGTGAATAAACAAGTTGAAGAGCTGCTCCAGAAAAATGGCATTGCTCATCAGAAAACCGTGCCCTATAATCCAGAGCAAAACGGTTCCGCTGAGAGGGATATGAGAACTATAGTCGAATTAGCTAGGACTATGTTGCACGCCAAAAACCTAGATGTGAAATATTGGGCAGAAGCAGTGAACACAGTTGTTTATGTTCTCAACAGGACAAGCTTTAGTCCGCAAAAAGGATAAACGCCATTTCGATTGTGGTTTGGAAAAAAGGCTAATATTGACATGTTGCAAATTTTTGGTTCCACCGCTTACGTTTATATTCCAAAGCAAAAGAGGCTTAAATGGGATAGTAAACCCCAAAAGGGAATATTCGTCGGCTACGTTGAGGGAGTTAAGGGGTGGCGGGTTTATATAAACGAAAAAAGGAAAGTAGAAATTGATGTAGTTTTCAGTGAGAAAGATGATGATATCGCTAAAACATCAGATGACTCATATGCCATGATTCCCGCAGACTCATCAACGCAAGTGGTACCAGCTAGTCCAAATGCTAGTGGTGACGTGTCAACGCAAACGACCGAGGAAGTGATAGCAGATATTTCTACTGATATCACTGATGACGAGGTTTTACTGGAAGAGGCAGAACATCTTCAAGTGGAAGTATGTGACGCGGAGCCTGCGAATCAAGATGCACAGACAGCAAATGGAAGTTTTATTAGCAGCAGACTTCGTAGTAGAAACAAAAACACACAGTCATCTACGTCAGTGAATGCCGAAGCTGAGGAAAGTAAGAGGCAACAAACGTCGTTGAATGTAGCAGTGGTTGAAAGTCATGCGTATGTCATGAGGTGTGGTGTTCCTCTTAACTACTTAGAAGCAACAACCTGTGAACAAGCCACAATGTGGAGAAGTGCTATGGACGATGAGATGGAGTCATTGAGGAAGAATAACACTTGGCGTTTAGTTGATCTTCCGAAGGGTTGCAATGCAGTTTCTACGAAGTGGGTATATCAGCTTAAAGGAGCAACTGAAAACGAAGGTAAACGATACAAAGCGAGATTAGTTGCTCGCGGTTTTAGTCAACAATATGGCATTGATTATGTTGAGACCTTTAGTCCAACTGCAAAGTTTACATCCATAAGAGCTATTTTGAGCATTGCGGCATCAGAGAATCTGGAAATTAAGCAATTTGACGTTAAAACAGCTTTTTTGAATGGAACGATCAAAGAGAGCATATACGTCAAGCAGCCTGAGGGATACTCTGACAACTCGTCCAAGGTTTGCAAGTTATTAAAGAGTCTATACGGCTTAAAGCAAGCATCCCGTTGCTGGAATCACACCTTTTCTAAACTATTAACCGAGTTTGATCAGCAAGCAAGTGGAGCAGATCATTGCGTTTTTGTTAATAAAAGAGCTGGAAAGAGGTTGCTTTTGGCCATATATATCGATGATGGGTTAGTAGCCGCAAGTGATCACAAAGATATTGACAAGCTGTTGCTGTTTTTGAAGCAGAATTTCGATATCAAGGTTTTCGAGGCAAGACACTTCCTGGGGTTGGAAATTCGGCAAGCAGTTGGTAGCCTGATTTATCTCATGTTAGCTACGCGGCCAGACATCGCATTCGCAGTCAGCTATGTAAGTCGTTATCTGGATAAACCATTGTCTGCTCATATAAATATGGTAAAACGGATACTAAAATATCTTCGGGGCACAAAAGGGTATGGTATTTACTTCTCAAATGAAAACATTTCTCTTCTAAATTGTTTTAGTGATGCTGACTATGCTGGGGACATAAACACGAGACGATCAACTAGTGGTTTTGTTGTTATATTGGGCTCATCGTGCATCGCTTGGTCGTCGCAAATGCAAAAATGCGTTTCGTTGTCTACAACTGAATCTGAATTTGTAGCTGGCTGTCATGCTGAAAAGAGCTTATTTGGATTCAACAACTCTTGACTGACTTACTCCCTAATCGAAAGCTAAAGATTACTTTGAACATGGACAACCAAGGAGCCATACGGCTAGTGAAAAATCCTGAGTTTCACCAACGCACAAAGCACATAGATGTAAAATTTAAATTTATTCGAGAGAAATATGAACAAAAAATTTTTGATCTTATCTATGTTCCTTCAAATATGCAAATTGCGGATATATTCACGAAGCCATTGAACAAAGAAACGTTTATTCAATTTAGAAATGCAATGTTTGTAATTGATTCCAAGAGGAACTAAATTTCTTAACTTAATTATAATTTTCAATAACTTTGAAGTTAATAATAATGAATTAAAAAGTGGATTAAATGAATTAACAAAAAATGTTTGATAAAAGTGGGAGTGTTGAATATTTTTATCTACACATTGCGTTACCTATCCCACTGTATTGTACCAGCAACAGTTATGCACAAGTTTTCTCT